AGCTAACAGAAGAAGAATCAAGCCTTGAGGTGTCCTAAATCATTCTAACCAAGTCCAATTTCAGAATAATTTTTAGCTACTTCGTTCAGGTAGAATTCTTCATCAATTTGAACCAAATAAAGTCTTATTATACTCTATTCATCCTTCTGATTCTCACACTTCTTGTGGTTTGCATTTTCATTGAGAATTGAGGGAGATACTTGGGTTTTTCGTGCTCGCTATTTTTTCTGGTTTTCTTCAAATTCAGCCTTGCACAGTTTATATAAATTTGGCGTGAGAGTACCATTAGAATCGTCTTGAAGAGACGAAGCTAATGGTAGCGGTCTGGTCCTCTAATTTAACATTTTGAAGAATCCCAATCTAAGGCGTCTGGAGGTTGAAGACGGCCTACGTGTCGTGCTTCAACCAATGAAAGCGTGGCATGTGATTTTTTTAATTAAATCTGGTACATCTGTTTTATCATGCGCGCATCCCAGGAGCCCTTGGATCTGATTACTTTAGTGAGTCAGACTTCATCCAACATGCCATATTTTAAGTTGTTTTTATTTAATAAAAATTGATTCAGTGTGAAAACCAATAAAGTCCATGACATGCACAATGCACCGGATCCACTGAATCTGTTTACTGACGCATTTTGACAATGATCAGATGGCCCATATTTTTTTGGTTTAACATTTTTATTTTTTATTTTTATTTTAATTGATCTAAACTTCAAAAAATCATAGAAAATTCATTTTTGATCAAAAAATCATGAAAAAATTCACAAAAATATTTTTTAAAATATCCTCTTTTAGATTTTTATTTTTTCAGATTTTCTATTTTTTTATGATTTTTCCTTTATTTTGATTTGTTTCTAATAAGTTAAAAATACTTTTCATGTTTTTAAATTATGAAATTTTTTCTAGAATTTTATTTTGATTCTTACTATTTTTGATCTTTTTTCACTTATTTGAGGAATTTTAATTAGTTTAAAAATACTTTTCTGTTTTAAAAAATTATCAAAAATTTCATAAATATATTTGAGATCACTTCTGATATTTCTATGGTCTCATTGAACTTTTCTTGATTGTTTTGAATATAATTTCTATTTTCTTTCCTTATTTCCATATTAAAAAATCATTTAAAAAAAAACCTTCTTCTTTTATTTAAAATACTATTTTATTTTTGTACATATTCTGACCATTTTGACTTTTGATCATGGACTTCATTAGCATCATTGGATCTTGAGTGTTGAGTTTAACTCCACCAAAATGGATGAATGATTTTAATGATAGTTTGATTAAATTTTTATTTCAAATATTATCCCTCCCCTCTTCATCTCATCATTTTCTTATTGTGTCACATATTGTTAGAGGATGATATACATATCATCTCTCCAAACATATGACACATAAATTTCTATTGACCGGCCTCAGAATAGGTGCGATTTCTATATAAGTCCACTTACAATTGCTTAACGTAGCGCTAAATTTTGTCCGATTCGAGAAATGATCATTCGTGGCCCAAAACCATGTTTGTAAGCCTAAGTATGTTAATTTGAATCCTTTGATCCAATAACCTTGAGATTCATTGTTAGGAGGCTTTTGTCTTATCAATCCTCTAATGAATCTTCATAAGCTATGGTCAAAGTGAATCACTTAAACATCGTTGATCATTTATTGTAGCCTTGAGAATTTTGAATGAATGATATACTTGACAAAAAACAAATGAAACTTGTTGTTGAGAGGCTTTGGTTTTATCAATCCTCTAATGAGTTTCAAATTCAAGTTTCAACATGGTCATTCAACTAACCTCTAATTTCTAACAATTGACTTTATTTTGTGCCTTTACTTTATGCTCTTTACTTTAAGCATATTTATTTTAGCATTTACATTTCATGTTATTTTCATCTTTGCTCACTTGAGTATTTACTTTTGTATCATTTTTATTTTGGTCACTTGAGTTATTTCATTTCTTTTTGAAGATACCTAATAACCAACTTGAATAATAAAAGGCTTTAATGTTACTTGGACTACTTGGTTACTATCCTTGGCATTTTCGAGTTATAGACTTCTTGGACATAGGATTAGAGATCTTGACCTACATTGAGACCTTGTGACCTCAATTATTATTTTGCCTGGAGCTCTTGGGGTTTATCCCAAGACATTGGGTTGTTTGTTTTCTTTGTGTGCAAGTTATTGTGATTACATTCTTTGTCTGTGATCGGAAATTCATCTGTATACAGCTGTTACTCTTCCTAAATTTTTTTGAAGACTTAATGCAATTGAAGCTTGGTTTTTTTAAGAGATTTATTATCTTTGGTTGTTTGGTTTCAATCCAAAGGATGAGAATTCTACATTGACTCATTATGTCAAGTGTCGGCTTCTTATTGGTTAGACGGTTCTTTTCTCTAGCTTTTACCTTATTCTTTAAGATAGTCCCTTCTTCTCCTCCCATCTTGTTTAATTTCAAAAATCTTCTCCCTCCTTTTGAAAACTCTTCTTGTTTGCTAAACTTGAACTGCTTTCATAATAAACTCGGACTTAGGTCCATGCATTTTCAAAATATTTTCTTAATCAAACTTTAATCAACTTAATAATACCTTGACATTTTTATGAGAAGACTAAAAGTCAATCAATCTCATTCAAACTATTTTTCCATTTTGGCCTTTTGTTTTAAAATTTTCTCAAAAGATTAGACTTTTATCAATCCTTGTAGTGATGCGAGCTACTATACTTCTACAATATATAGTGAAGTGGGATATTTTCCACTTAGGTGTTGAGCGAGGCTTTATTGATTTTAAAATCCAAGCTATATCCTCCACTTTGAGATGACACAAATTCTCCTTTCTCATAATTGTGGATAGTAAGTATGTTCTTCCACTCGGATAAGACGATGATGTCTTGTCTTTTAAAATTAACCAACACACTTGTATTTTAATTTTTTTTTTTAAAGGTGAACTATGAGTACCCTAATCCCCTATTGCACGGAAGGTGATACGTAGACACTAAAGGTTCGCAACCGCGGCGGATGCAAAAATCATAAAATATACTTCTTTTCTCATCTCCACAATCTATTTATGTACAACATTTTATAGTCAAAATACACAGATTTTCAAAGAGGTTCCCGCGGAGTACCGCATATATTTAGGGTGCTAATATCTTCCCTTTGTATAACCAACCTCTGAACTTAGATTCTCTCCCCCTATTTTTTGGGTTATTCGCTCTTTTCCCATTCCTTTGGAAATAATAAAGCACGGTGGCGATTTTTATTTTGATCTGTGCGAGTCAAGTCAATCCAATGGCTTTGTCTTAACATTTCTACCGCTACATTTTTTATATACTAATAATTTTTAATCAAAAAACAAAAATAATATGGTAGCGCCTTAGTTTAGAGATGTCACTACGGTGTAGGGAAGAACCGTGGTGACTATGGTGTTGTTATTTATGTGTTTTGTAGTAGTGCTTGGACTTAAACTTTGACTTTGATCTCTTCCCTTTCTGGTTTCCTCTACTCTCAATCCTTTCTCTTGAGGCACTTAAACCTTCACCACTATCGCCAACCTTTTCAACTATGATAACTCATTTGATCTTACGGCCATTTGAAATTCATCCAAAATGATAGTTCCTTCCTTACCATAAAGAAGAATATCCTTAAAATGTTCAAAGGATTTGGATAATTAGTTTAACAAGAGTAGAGCATTGTCCTCATCTTTAATTTTCAAATATATTTTTTATAAATCATCAATGATCTTGTGAAATTCTATCGGCCAGTAGCCACTCTACAATAGATTTATTCTCCACCATACAAAAAGAATAAAGTTGTTGTTTCAAACATAATACTGTGTCATGTATAATGATTCAAATATTAACCTTCATTTCAGTCGCGGTCTTCTCCCTTGCAACTTCTTTTAATATTTTATCACCGAGACACAAGATAATAACATTTTTTAATCTTATTTGTTGTTACGATCTTCTCAACTTGTGTAAGATTTGTAGGCATCAATGTCTTTTCCATATTTATAATTATCAAAATTTTAACAAACTCAAAATCGAAAATATGTCGGGACCAAAAATATGTTTCTTTATTTTTGTCACTCGAAGTTTTAAGAAGTTTTCACAATCATGATTTAGCTTATGGCTTAAAATATGATCTTTTCATGGATCATTTAAATGCGAAGGAAAGAACGTTTGCGAATGATATGGCGGAATACAATATGACACCGACTCAGATTGAATTTGAATTAAAAACTCTCCCTTAACAATGTTAATGTTTCATTTTCGAGGTTTAATTTGAAGGCAAAACATTTAGTTAAATTAGAAGAGTGTTGAATTTGAATGCATAATAACATTTGGTTAGATTCATTCAAAATCAAAGGGAGAATTAAAAATTACTAGTACAATTTCAAGTATTTCTGACCGAGATGAAATGATGACATAGAGTATGGGTATTAAGTATGTTTTCATTGATAATTGAATCATTCAAACAGTTAGTTAATCATACAAAACATCCATTTGTTATGCATCGAAAAGAGATTAAAAAAATCAATTTATGATAAGCATGCAATGCAAGACATCATACATTAACTGTTATGAAACAAAGAGACAGCTCATGCAAAAACATGTCAGATTACAACACTCAAAAGAATTAATATTTTACAACAATTCTTATATATTTCCGATACTTTTTCCTCTTCTTTCTCATAAACATCCAAACAAGAACAAAAGGAATATCAGATTCCTTTTTGCCCTTTGAGAGGCCCTGAAGCTAATACTCTCAGAACATATCTCTGTCTCTGTAGACTGTGGTCCCCACATACACATGTTGTTTGTTGTCTCTAGTCACACAATGGCGTAAAGATTTTTGTGATTTTGATCGGCATAGATGTTGCGATACTGATTGTGATTGTTACGGTATGAATTAACCGCTATATTTTTTACCATAAAAATGGTAAATAATAGTATTGATCTCGGCACCTTTCGATAATCTTTTGTCGCATGCACTTTCGGGGTAATGGACAGTTACCGATTATGCAAAGGATTAGCTCCTGATGGCACACCTCTCTTGTCTTCCAACTCAGTGTTTCTATTTCCAGACAGATTTTTATGAGACGAAGAAGGCGAACTTGTGAAATTTAATAAACCACCAGCAATACACAGAAATCCAGAATTGGAGAAGATTAGTAGTATAAAAAGTACATAAAAAGCACCCATTTCACTAGTTAGCATCACAGAATTTAAATCACTTACTATATTGTCTCCTAAAAGTGACAAAAAAAATAACAACGGTTTTGATAACGCTGCAAACCTTAATATTTCTGGAATATGCAACGGTTGCAATATTGTTGCAGAGACTTCAAAATCTCTTAGATTTTGGTCGTATTTGCAGTTATGATACCTTGCAAAGACTTCAAAATTTGCGGTCGTAGTTGCGGATTCTGTGTGACTTCAAAATATATGTTTACAAAGAAGAATATGGAAATTGAAATGAAATAAAGAGAAGTAACATAAACAAGACAATATATTATTTTTGTCTTTGGAGGCAAAGGATGTTGTAATCTAAAGTTGCTTTTGCTTGAGTGATGATATGATGAAAGAGAATGACAAAAAAACAAACTGTAGAAGGATTTTATAACACTAACAATACCGTCACTACAGTAAATTGGTACTTGAGTTAGGGCAGGTTCAAAGGCCAATTACCAACATCTTATACTCATTTGTTTTTGTAACAAGTGTCACATTTGTAATATTTATTAGACTATAGTGATGGGCATCTTGGAAGTTGGTGGCAATTGTTTTGAGAAAGCATATGAATCACACGCTGGTGAAAGTTTGTCCAGCATGACAATATAGTTTTGAAACTTTTCTATTTGTTTTCTTCATCTTATGACAGTGTGATGAGTTATAATATGATCACATGCACCTACTTTTGTAACCACTTGATTTTAATATTTTGTTTAATGGTAAACTACAAACAATAGCTCCCATTAGAAAGTAACGTACTAACTACATTTTTGTTGAATAGCTGCCGGGAACACTGTGCCATTGTGTCACCAATGGAACTTATAATTAATTAAACTATGAATTAAGTATTGAGTGCATGAAATTTGTGTATTTTTTATTGGGAATGCTAATGAGTGACTGAGGACATTGTTTAATATTTAAGAATAGTAACTTTTTTTAATGAAAAATGATGCATTCATAATATTGAAATATATTTAATTTGTAGAATGATTAATGTCTATATTTAGAATTCTTAAACAAATTAGTGTCAAAAGTGGATCACATATGCACCCATCATTGTTTTGTAATTTTTAAATTTTAGCATTTAATAAGAATGCAGTCCATTTAATCTGATTAGTGACACCACGTAGAGAGCTTGAAAGAGAAAATTCTCAACCGTAAAACATACATTCTTTTAAGCAATTTCCCATTTTAATGTTTTACCAAGAATCATATCCTCCATAATTGATTTGATTGTGTGTGTTAAGTAATCTATACAATGAAGCATTCATAGACTTATAATGATTAAACAACCTACACTGATATTTCTTGTCATATTTTAGGCATACTAACTATAAGATCATGATGGTAAACACCACTAGTTTAGGTAACTATCTCGTAGGCTGAGTGATAACAGCTTTATAGACTTTTGTTCTTCATATATGTCAACTATGTCTTGCATTGGACTACAATTCAATGCAACAAGGAGATGGCACATTCATGCTATCAATGGTTTTGATAATTAGATTGAAAGGAGATGGTTTATACTGATTTCAAGTGTTGGGATTCTAGATTGAGAGCGGAAGCGAAAGAGCTCACTCCCACATATGATTTGAAAGAGGTTTAGATAGGTATAGGTCATAACATCCATTAAGGTGACAAAAATATGTATATTTTTCTCTAAAGAGAAGGAATGAGAACTAATTAACAACCTCATTGAGAATGTCGACTTGTTCGCCTGAGCATCCTTCGATATATTAAGAATAGATATCAAAGTAGTGAGTCATTGCCTCACGATCCACCCTTCCGCCAAACCAATGGCGCATAGGAAATGGAAAGTTAGCAAGGAAAAGAGGACCGTCATTGATGAAGAGATGGGAAAACTATCTGACACCGGGTTTATCATGGAAGTAAAGTATTCCACTTGGTTGACCAACATGATTCTAGTACTACTACAGAAAACACCTTTCGCCAAACAATATTAAAACGGTCTTTCATTAACCATAGTGAAATCACATTTTTGAGTGTTTTTTATTTTTATTTTTACTAAAAGATATTTCACTACGGTTATTGTTAAACTTCGTAGTTAAATGTACCAAAAGTTACAGGGTTCGAATCTCAACTCTTTCATTATCCCTGCTCCATGTATATCATTACAGTTATTTTATTCAACCGTGATGTAAAGTCCAATCACTACATCACAGTTCTTCTTATCAATCGTGATGAAAATTTATATTTTTTAATATATAAGCGAAAGTACATGTCGCTCATTACATAACAACCGTTTCTCTCAAAAGAAAATCCTAACATATTTCACTCTTCTCTCTCAAAACATAACCCTAACATCCATATCACTCTTCACTACCTTGATGTTAGTTCATTGAACTTATGCTCCGATTTCGTTTACGTTCCTTGTTAAAATGGGTTCTCATTATTTCATTTGATGAATGTTCCATGTAATGTTGTTAATGTCATTGTGTTTAATTTTGACTTATCGGGAAAGTGAATGAAGAAAACCACCTTAACAAAGCGCATACTTTGCCTATGATACATATCGTTTGTGTTGCTATGAAAAAATACAAGAAGCATGAAGCTATTGTGTAAACTTCATCCACCTTGTATTTTTTTCATAGCATCATAAACTAGATGAACTTCATAATTGATTCCAGCTCCAGAATTAGTTTTAATAAAATGTGTATTTTTTAAATATTTTGTTGTATGTTGTTGCATGTTGTTGTTTGTTGTTAGTATTTTGTTGCTAAAAGGTATTTTTTATTTTGTTGTATGTATTTGTTGTGTTGTTGATAAATGTTGTTGTATGTTGTTGTTGATTAATGTTCTAAGAACAAGAACAAAACATTGTTAAGTCACAAGAAATAGGCTTCTTGTGACTTAGCAATGTTTTGTTCTTTAAGTTCTTATGTTGATTGACAAAAGATAAAGTTGAGTTTATTATATTCTATGTAGATTATTCGTTTCCCTAACCCTTCACTGAAAATACATTCATTTAAATTGACATAGAAACTTATAATCTAAAAATTAAGTTGCATTTGAAAACCAACGTATATCAATCAATGTTTTCCGAATTGCACGCGTCTCATCATTCATTTCTTGCTCTTTAACATATAGAATATGGTTCGATGACCCGGTTCCTTCATTACATCGATATCTTCTCTTATAGTTTAATTTGAATAACATCAATTTATTGGTCAAGTCTACCTCATCATCGTCTCTTATCATTGTGATTAGTATGATGGTAAGTCACTATAACAATCATGATGATAAGCGACGATGATGAGGTAGACTTGACCAATAAATTGATCTTATTCAAATTAAACTAGAATCAAAGAAATTGATGTCATGAAGGACTTAGACCAATAAACCATATTCTATATGTTAAAGAGCATGAAATAAATTGTGGCATGCATGCAATTTGAAAAATAATGGCTTGTTTAAGTTGATTTTCAAGAATAATTTTATTTTCAGATTATATACTTCTTTATCAATTTGAATGGTTGTATTTCTTTAGTGAGGTGTATGGAAAAACAAACAATCTACATATTATAAAATAAACTATGGATACTTTCCATAATGGTTATTTATTGTAACCGTGATGAAGTGTTATTTATATTCCAAATAAATTATTGCTGCTAGGTTTCGAATCGAGTACCTATATATATATATATATATATATATATATATATATATATATATATATATATATATATATATATATATATATATATATATATATATATATATATATATATATATATATATATATATATATATATATATATATCACAATGGTTGATAAGTGTAACTGTTGGGATAAGTAGCACGCGTCCTGCCTTATTATCACAGTCTCGCGAATGTGGTGGAAAGCACCGTAGATACATTCACACTTTATCTCACAATGTTGATCAGGTATTGTAGTATCTCTTTTCCAACCGTTGTGGCATGACTTTTCCGTAGTAGTATAGTATGGAAAACTAATAACAAGTGGCACATGTTCATAGATTTCATCAATATGAGTGTCGTCTGCCTTAGATATTTGTAACCACTATCAGACATCGATCATCTCATCGAAGGATCATCATGATACCCGTATGTTGAGCTTTATGGATGCGTACTCGAGGTACAACCAGATTCAGACGGATCTCTTAATCGCGCCCAAAATAGCCTTTATCTCAAACTATGACTACTACTACTACAATGACATGCCTTTTGGCCTTAAAAACATTGGTGCCACCTACCAAAGCCTCATGGGCGCTGTTTTCGCCCACCAGAAATGGTGAAACCTGGAGCTCTACGTTGATGATATGATAGTTAAGATTATTGAGGGCGCGGTCACGTAGAGGATTTAAAAGATGTCCTGAAGTCAATAAGGAAGTTTGATATGCTTCTAGACCCTATCAATTGTTCTTTCGAGGTCCAAAAGGAGAATTTTATGGGCTTCATGCTGACACGAAGCCAATCCAGACAAGTGCCAAGAAGTCATCACGATGAGGAGCCCCACTAACATGAAGGAAGTGCAACAATTCACAGGTGCCCTCGCCGCTCTATCTCGCATCCTTTCCAATTCATACAAAAAATCCTTCTCTTCTTCGCCACCTTAAAAAAGAATGAGAGGTTTGAGTGGAATCCCGAGTGCGGGGAAGCTTTCACCAAAGACAAGAACTTCCTCACATCGCCCTCCATCATGACTCGCCCGAGAGAGGGGTTTTAACACCCTAATACCCTAACGCGTAATAATACAAATTTAAACAACTATACACATAGGGTGTCACACAAACGCAAAATAAACCTACTCCGTAACACGTGTTAAATAAAATATAATATAATATAAACACATGGTATCACATGCTCGCTTTTACATATAAAATAATTCTCATAATAACTCTTCTTTCAAAAACATAAAACTCAGTTATGGCAAAATGCCTTCATCAATCAAATCAACATATAACATTCGGAGTTATCAACATGCACATATCTTGTTCACATCA